TGCAAAAAAACAAAAAAAAAAAAAAAAAAAAAAAAGTAGGAAATCTGTGTAGTCTAAACCAATTACCCAGGCTCGACTCTTCAATTCCTGTTGAGCCCCAGAACCCAGGTATTAATATAATGGGTTGGCTCCCACTGTCCTTATTCTTGGGACACACTTCCTCAAGGGCTGCCATGTTCCTCTTCCATGTCAAATGGGGAATCCCAGCCCCCTGACCCCACAGAAACAGATGTTCTATCAGTGTAGGAGAAATCCCAGCATTCTGGGGGAAACGCCCCAAGTCATGATGCTCTTCCTCCCAAAGCCCAGTGCTCATGTGTTCCTGCCCATGTGCCGGTAAACCCACTGACTTACCTCCCGGGTCACTCAGAACCATGGCCAGTGCAGAGAAGACAGAGGAGCAGCCATTTAGAACCACCACCTGAAGACAGTGCACAAGAGGCAGGTCAACAACAAATATCCATGGAGGAAGGAGTAACTCTCTGGGAGGGACAGGAACCAGGGACCTCCTCAGTGAAGACCCATGAGCCTTCATCCTGCCTTGGCCCTCAGGGTCTCCCTGGGTTCTCCCTGTACTCCCTAGAAAATGTCCCCAGGAATACGGCCCTCCACAAGGGTGGCAGCAAGGCTGAGAAACGGACTCACATTTTCTGGATTAAGTTGGGCAGGTGCCTTGCAGTAGTAGGTAAGGAACCGGGCCACTTCCTCTCGCAGGCTGTGGGCAGACCCAGGGAGATTTGTGATTCCCAGGCGCCATTTCTCATTCAACATCTAGACTTCAGTCTTTTTCAAAAAAACAGTGTCTAACCTGCAAGGGATTTTTGTTACCCAGTCCAGCTTCATTTTATAGGGCTGCTAACTAAGGTCATCAACTCCTCAGGTCACACAGACCGTAAAGGAGAGTTAGGACAAGAACGTGGGCTTTTGAATGAAAGGACAGTACCACTCTTACTATACCAGGTTGCCTCCTGACGAGGTTAGGCATTTCTTAACAGTCTTACCCAAAGAAAGAGAGAGGCCGCCCATCAAGAAACTGGTGTCCTGAACCCTCCCCTGGATGAAGATGGGTGCCGACAGGCCAGGAAACCCCAGATCTGGAGCTTACTTACAATGGTTGTCCTTGGAAATCAGAGTATTGCAGAAGGGCATCGTCAATGTAGTTCATGTCACTTTGACACAACTGTTGACAGAGTGTGAAGACAGGCAGACCAGGGAAGCCCACACGTCTCAGCCTACTCCTAGGTTGTACGTGGGTGTTGCCCTACACAGATCTGGCCTCCCAGAGGGGAAATGGGCACACCCACTGTTGTACCTAATAATTGGACCCCCCCCACCTTGTCATAGATTACACAAATGATACCTTGCCACAAAGTGTTTGATAATCTCCCCAACGCAAAGGCTCCCTTAGCAGTCTACCCACCAAAAGCCCAGCTAGAAAACCCCTCGGGACCACCTCCCGGGCCTCCCAGGCTCTTCCATCTACCATATGCCGCAGCACATTCTCGAAGGACTGGGCTAGAGGGGGTAGGTCCAAGCCCAGCCTGAAGCGTGACGTACCCGCTCAGTCATCAGGTCAGTGCAGAGCTTGTTCTCACTGGTGCCGAGGTTAATGAAGCCCTGGGGACGGGAAGAATCCGAGATCAGTCTTGGCACCCTGCCCTGCACAGGCCCTTTGAGCCTGCCAGGGAGCACCCACCTTGAACTAGTTCTAGCGGTGCTCTCGCTGCCCCATCAGGCAGTTCAGCCCACGTGTGAGAACTTGAAGCGTTAGAAAACTTTCCACGAACCCCAAATCTTACAGCTTGCGTATTCTTCCCTCAGACCACAAAAATAGTTATGTTCTGTCTACTAAAGTGCCACCCCTAGACTGAGTCCTTCATGCGAGTTATCTGAACCTCTAAGAAAAGATTCCATATGATCTCTGATATAAAGAGAGTGAAATTCAGGGGGACCAACAGTTAGCGTAATGGCTATGTCACTGGACTCCCATGTAGTCGACCGTGGTTTGAGTCCCGGACCCGGTGGCTTAAACTCACACCGGGCACATGTGTGTGCGTGCCCAAGATCCTGAGAGGAGAATGGAGAAGGGATTGCGGCGTGGCCATCCCGCCTGGGGGATGATTTCTCGGTTTCTCTCTGTCTCTGTCTCTCTGGCAAGTGCACACGCCCTGTAGCAAAAAAAAAAAAAAA